AAACGGATCATCAAAACTACTATATTTGATAATGTACTTACAATATACTAGTGAAAAGTTGGCACTAAATAACAAACAATTTACTTAAAAAACGCAATAAATGGTTAGAATGAAGTAGTTAAACAGAAACAATAATGTAGAAAGTGATATAAAAATTTATTGAACTGACGAAATTAATATAAAAGTTGTAAAACGAAAAAAGAAGAATAATAATATATTCCTAATCCAAAGATGTTATGCAGCCAAAGGTTATAAAAGAAGAATTATCTCATCTACAAGCTCAACAAAAAGATATTTTCTTCATCTGCATTACATATTTTCAACAAGGAGGCTGCTCCGATGTGTACTTAGTGCAATACTCAATTAAGAGTGAAACATACAATAATTATCGAGTGACTGGTCTACAAAAGAAACACCATGAGACTCTTCTGAAGAATGATCAAGGAAAATACGTTCATACACAGGAAGAACTAGCTAAAATCTGGGCAAACTATGCTTCGTCCTTCTTTGCGGATAATAGACCGAATCTGCCAACTACTAAGTTACCTACGGAAAACGTATCCGGCCCTCCCATTATTCGCGCCGAGGTGGAGTACGCTATAAAAGTACCCAAACTAGGCAAAGCCCCTGGACCGGATGGAATTACTACGGGAGCCATAAAACTGTTGCAAGATGATAAAATCGACATGCTGGTAACAATTTTTAATGCCATATATAACAGCAAAGACCACAGACTGATAAGTTTAATGAGCCATCTGCTTAAGGTGTTTCTTCGCAACCTTTATACAAGAATGTTCAGAAAGCTGGAAGATCTAAGCGATGAGACACAGTTTGGTTTCAAGAGCGGACTAGGTACACGTGAAGCAGCTTTCTGCTTAAATACGCTTGTAGAAAACTGCATGGATCAATGAAAGGATAAAATCATAACATTCCTCGATTATGAAAAAGCGTTTGACACCGTAAAACATGACGCAATGATAAAAATGCTACACAACGCTAACATTGGCGAGAAAGATATAAGAGTTATCCAGAATCTCTATTGGAATCAAAAAGCACGAATGAGACTGAACAAATCAACCAACACAGAAGAATTTGAAATTTTAAGAGGGATGTGTTTTGTCTTCTATGCTCTTCAATCTCTATGTAGAGAACATTTTTGCAGAGGCACTGGAAGGCTCAGAGTTTGGAATAAAGGTCAACGGGTTCCCGATAAATAACATTCGTTACGCCGACGACACCGCGATAATAACAGACAACGAACATGATATGCAGTTAATGTTAAATAAAATAAACACCGTAGTAAAAATATGTGGCTTGAACATAAATGCTGGAAAAACTAAATGCATGACAATAAGAAAAAACGCACTTTTAATACAACTGCAAGTTGATGGTGCTCCAATCGATCAAGTGGATACATTTAAGTACTTGGGAATGATGATGAATGACCAATGGGATCCTCAACAAGAAATAAAATGCCGTACCAAACAAGCAAGACAAGCTTTTATCAAATTTAAACTGCTACTATGTAACCGCAATCTTTCCTTCAATTTCCGCTACAGGATGGTTAAATGCTATGTATGGTCCATATTGTTATACGTCATGGAAATATGGATGTTAACAGTACCTTCCATTAATAAGTTAGAGGCCTTCAAAATGTGCACGTTGCGAAGAATGTTCTGCATACCATGGACAGATAGGGTGAGAAACGAGGAAGTCTTAAGAAAGGTAAATACTGAGAGAGAACGACTTAATTTGATCAAAGTACGAAAAATTTGATACTTCGGGCATATTCTGAGAGGAAAAAAATAAGCAATCCCTCAACTACTTAATCATCCAGGGAAAGATTGAAGGCATGAGAGTAGTAGGTCGCAAACAAATGTCGTGACTACGGAACATAAAAAACTGGACAGGCATAAATAACACTAGCGATTTTTTGCATGCCGCAAAAGACAGACGTCTAGCCTTAAGATAATTCGCCAACGCACTATAGGGGCACGGCACTATAAGAAGAAGAAGGTCTACAAAAACAAAAAAATCGCGACAATTTAAAAAATGTGCTGACTTCAAATGTAACACGATTATTAAATTATTTCAAGACAACCAAACTATATATCAAATTGTAAAGTATTTTTATATAATACATAATATGTATCTTACTGTCTGTGTATGTCCCACCGCTAATAACACTTAGTGGCTGATGCGAATATATTTGTATAAATAAAAAAAACATTTATAAACAGCGATTTTGTTGTTTATTTACTATTTTATATAAATTTTACTTACATTTGAAATAAGGATCTCAATTTGTGTTCTTTTTTTCTAAAAAAGTTGTCTGTAGACGTGAAAGTTTTAAAGTTATAAGCAAAAAAAAGAGTTTCACGTTTTGATTGTGGTTTTAAAAATAGTTACACTACAAAATTGATGAACACCTAGATGAGAGGCATTTTGTAATATCTCATACTACACATTTCAACTATCAAACAAATCTATACAGTTGTGGCGAAAAGAAGATGTATTTCTTTCTAACTTGATTGGTCTACTATTCAACTTGATCATGGATGAAATAATAAAAAAGTAAGAATATAAAAAGGATAACAAATGGGAGAAAAACAACTTTAAATAATCTGCTATGCATTACTGCTCTCACAAAGTGAAAAATAGCCAGAGAATTTAACATGATAATTTTTCCCAAAAAGCAAGCATGCAACACACTCTCTAGCTACGTAAAACCCTAAACAGCAGAGAAAGGTCAAGTGAATAGAGCAAACAGAGCTTCGGGTAGCCTAAATGAAACAATATGGACAAATAAAAATATCGGGAAAGAAATAAAAGACAGAATTTACAAAACAGTCAACAGACCAATAATGACATGCGAAAGAAATACGACTTGACACAGAGAGAACAAAAACATTGCTAGAAACAACAGAGATGAAAACCATTAGAAAAATCGTTGGTAAGACACTATAAAACAGAGCTAAAAGTACAGATATACGACGTAGATGCAAGGTGGAGAACATTAAGGACTGGATAAGTGATAGAAGAGTAGAATTGTACGATCAAAGAGTATAAATGACAACAAATAGAGTAGTAAAGACTGCAAGAGACGGTTTACGAATAGGAAGACGATCAGTAGAAAAACCACGAAAACGATGAAATGACAACTTACTGGAGGCACATTGAAAATCAGACTGATTTGTTATGTCTACACAAAAAGAAGAAAATAAAACATGGCGCAAGAATACTTCAGAACTATATTAAGACATTACAAAGTACCTACCATTTGAACCGACAGTAAAAAATGCAAAAAGAGAATCAAGACCCAATGCAGAAAAAGAATCAACTAGCGGAAGCAAATGTCAAGGCAAAAACTATTGACTGCAGCATTAATAATAATATAGATATAAAAAAACATAGACCATAGGGACTTACGAATAATAACAAACCTCTACTGGAATCAAAGAGTACAAATCGTAATAGATAACGAACCCAGTCCAGAAATTGAAATCAGGAGAGGAGTTAGGCAGCGATTTATTATGTCCCCATTACTGTTTAACGTATATAGTGAAGCCATTTTTGAAGAAGTATTACTATCTCAAATTGAAGGAATAATAATAAACGGAAGATCTGTTATGGCAAGTTCTGCTGAGCAACTCCAATTACTGCTAAACAAAACAAACAGTTTCTGTGAAAAATATGGACTAAAAATGAATATAAAAAGACCAAATATATGATAATAACAAAGAAAACAAATATACCAACAAACATACATTTGGGAAATGTACCGATAGAAAGGATTGATAAATACAAATACCTAGGAACCTGGATTTCAGACAATATTGATCAAACAACCGAAATAAGAGTCAGGATAGAAATAGCAATAAATGCGTTTGTAAAAATGAAAACAATTCTTTGCAACAAAGACCTTCGATTAGAACTGAGCGTAAGAGCACTGAGATGCTACGTGTTTTCGATACTGCAATAGGGACTTCAAGCAAGAACACATAAATAAGTTACAGTCTTTTGAAATGTGGTGTTACATGAGGATGCTTAGAATAGCATGGACACAGGAGAAAACTAACACGGAAGTATTACAAGATATGGGCAAAGAATGCGAAATAACAAACACAATAAAAATAAGAAAATGGCAATATCTGGAGCACGTAATGAGAGGACAGCAATATTAACTGCTAAGGCTGATAATACAGGGAAAGATAAGAGGAGGAAAGAGTATGGGAAGAAGAAGAGTGTCATGGTTGAAGAATTTAAGGGACTGGTTTAAATGAAGTTCTATAGAACTTTTCAGATCAGCAGTAGGTAGAGTAAAGATAGTGATTATTATATTATTATATTATATTATATTATATTAGAAGAAGATTAATAATAATGAAATCAAAAGAATATGGTTTAAAATGCATGTACCATTCCAAACGGATCATCAAAACAATTATATTTGATAATTATGAGACAAAACGTTAGAACAAGAAAAAATCAAGAAACCAATAAAAAAAGATATTAAAGATTTAAATAAATTTTAAAATTATATATTGCTGGGATATTAGAGAATAGATAGAATAAGAAAGATAAACAATAGAACAAATAGTGCCAATGTGTTATATACAAGTGAAAAGTTGGCAATAAATAACAAACAATTTACTAAAAAAACGCAATAAACGGTTAGAACGAAGTAGTTAGTAGAACAGAATTGAAGAAATTGATAATAATACACCTAATCCAAAGATGTTATGCAGCCGAAGGTTTAGAAAAGACTATGATACACTTTCAAAATTATTATAAAAAACCCACTTTAGCAAAAATAAACATAAAAAAATAGAAAATTGTTCTAAGTGAATATTAAAATTGACAAACAACTAAAACTTTTTGTGTAGACACAATATGACAAAAAAATAATTACATGATTAAATTAAAACAGAAATAATCAAAAGAAAGGAAAAATAAAGGTAAAGGTTTGTATGAGAAGTAAAAAATTCTAACAAATTATAAAAGGAATTAATACTTTATTACAATAATTAAAAATTAAAATTTTTATATATAATATATAAGACTAAGTGTACTGTTTAAAAAGTTTTGCTAAAACTAACATATCACAATATTTCATATTTGATTTAACCAACTTTCAGATACAACTTTATTGTGTTGACAGATTTTTTAGCGGCAAATGAAAATATATTCGTGTATGATATTACAAAATAATTATAACATAAATCGTAGATATCTACTCCAATACTTGATCAATCGTACGTTGCAGATAAATATCATTCAACTCTACGAGATGTTTTAAAAAATTGATAATACAGCAATTAATCGGTATAAAAAAATTGTTTTTAATCGGTTATTCTAGAGCTTTTTATCTTACTAGATAACAGAAGCTGATTGATAGACTGTCCCCGTCGCTATTCTCTTTTAAAAATATTCTAATCATATGAGATTACTCTAAATAATTTAAAAATTTGTTTAAAACTTGCCTCAAAAATATAAATTATCCAACAAAACCGCGTCCATACGTAACTACAAACAGTGTATTCGAGAAAACTTTCTTTAAGCTAAAGGATACTGTCACAATGACGTCGTTCCCGATGAACTATGGTATAAAGAAGGACTATTATAATAATCATTACCTATGGTACTATGAGAATGGATAGCGTTCGGCAGCGGACTCAAAGTGTTGTATCCCGCATATTGCATATCGTATTGCATCTTGATGTCCGATTTGCTTTCTGCTGGAAGTAGCCTCGTTATTGAAAACGGATGATTCGATGGAGTGTATCCGGTAGGCTCTTGCTTCAGGTGGTGGTTCATCGGAGTATGATGCAGCATCGCTTGGTGTTCGCTGGATAACGCTAGATGGTTACTTCTGTTTATCATAGCGGATAACTCTTCGTGAGACATATTTTGGTGGTGATGATGTTGTTGCATATTATGCAGATCATTTGCGTTTAGAAGATTCAATTGATCGACGTCTAACTTTGCAGGATGTAAACTTAACATAGATCCAATGTTATCGTTAGCTTTGTCTAAATGATGAGATTTGTCTTCGCCGTGTTGAACAGGAGTTTTCTTACCGGAGCTGCTACTGCTATCGACACTATGAGAGGGACTTTTGTGCGTCGCTCTGAGGATTTCTTTCTTCTCGTCTTTAAATCGTTTTTGTCTTCTCAAATAACAACCATTTTCAAACATGTTACCTGAATCTGGGTGTAAACTCCAAAAAGATCCTTTACCGGGCTTGTCGGGCGTTCTAGGAACTTTGATGAAACAATCATTAAACGATAAAGAATGCCGTATGGAATTTTGCCAACGCTGTTGGTTTTGTCTGTAAAATGGAAATAAATCCATAATAAATTGGTAGATCTCTGACAAAGTCAACATCTTTTGCGGGCTATTTTGAATCGCCATTGTGATTAGAGAAATGTATGAGTATGGCGGTTTTGCGTGTGTGTAAGATCTCCTGTATGTTTTATCAGCTCTGGCCCGTTGTAAAGCACTATTCGGCGAAGTATCACCACCACCTAAATCGCCTCGGCCTATAGTCGCGTTATAGTTATTAATAGATGACATTGTCGCACCCATGCAAGCGTTCATATTAGAAATCGGCGAACCTATCGTTGAATATCCTAATTGCGGAGGTTCATTCATCGGCTGGTCCATTCGGGGTTGTATTCGATTCATTGCCATATTGGACGTCATTCCTGAATTCAGCATACTCGATCCGAACATAGATGTCTGCGGCGAACAACTCATCTGGGCCATTGCCATGGAATTCATGGAGTACGTTGTTGTCATGGGAGACATCGCGTTACTTCCCGTAGACATTGTATTAACGTCAGGATATAGTTTTTGCGTCAACATATTGCACTAAAGTATTATTGCACTAATAGTTTCCACTCGTCGTATTTGTCAACGATTCCGCTCTATCAATTGATTCTATCTCAAACGTCGGTTTTGTTTCATTGTTTACATCACGATCAAATTCACAAACAACTTAACACTTTAGGTATTCCAAAACCTACACTGATTGGAAAAACAAATACCTCTGGCAGCCTGTTTACTTAGATACTACAAGCTAGTCTGAAGTACCCAGAGCGTTGGATAGTCAAATACAAAAGTGTGGAGGGGGTGGATCGCCATAGCAACCGTGGCACTAATCGCGTGCATTCTTCATTCGTTGCTATGGTAATCGACCGACGAAAACAGTTGGCGATTGGCTAGCGGCTCTGGGTTGTCGGAGAGTTAGGTTGAGGGGAATATCGGCGACGCCCACTTAATTCCGATGACGCCACGAAACGAGTGATGTATGAACTAATGATTTCTTCTAAGAGCCGAGAAGCACTGAGTTGAAATTCTGGGTATCTAATATCTAGTGACTTTTTTTTATCTGAAAGTTTGGAATTTCTGAACTGTGATTTGTGTAACATTTTTGGATAATTGCATCTCTCGAGGTAATCCTTAATAATTAGAATGCTGGATTTTTTAGTAAAGCTTTTTCTCTAAGTATTTCATTATTTTGAAACACAAAAAACAAACATCCTTATATTAATTTTTTGTTAAATTAAAACTAAATACATAAACATATTTGTCCAAATAAGTAGCCTGGTAGCTAGCTATAGAATTTGTTTTATCTATACCTATAATATTTGATTACAAGCTCGAGTAACAATTTATTTACTTATACAATTATTGTACATTAAAATTTTGTTGTTTTTTTGCTCTAAAAATGAACAAAAATGAATAATTATTAAAATTTTAGTTATTAAACCAAAATTTAAAAATACTGATTCCTTTTCAGTCCAATTCCTTTTCATGGTTAGCAGACAGATCTTTCCCGATCTGTCTGCTAACCATATAACATTTTGCTATATTTACATTTTATAACTAATTTTTTGATATTTGAATACCTTATAATTAAGAGCTTAATTATAAGTCTTCTTCTTTGAGTACCCTGTCCGATTATCGAACGTTCTAAATAAATTAGCGGTTTTCTCTTGATACCATTCTCAGAGATTTCGGAGCCAGGATGTTCTTCTTCGGCCTGGGCCTCTCCTTCCGGTGATCTTACCCTGTATTATGATGTGTAGCAGGTTATACCTCTCTAGATATCTCATTACATGACAGAAATATTGTAACTTTCGAATTTTTATGGTTTTTGTTATTTCTGTGCTCTTTTTCATTCGATGTAAAACTATTTCATTTCTTATTCGATCAACCCAACTTATCTGCAATACTCGTCAATAAATCTACATCTCAAAGGTCTCCATTTTTTTCATTATTGTCTCTGTAAGGGTCCAGCTCTCCATACCATACCGAAATGTTGGAAATATGTAGCAGCGATTTATCTGATTTTAAGGAATAACGTAATATCCCTAATAATTTGAGTTTTCTTTAATTGATAGAAGGCGGCTCTGGCTTTTTCAATGCGTATTTTTATTCTTTATTTATATCCCAGTTATCGTTAACGTTTGCGCTCAGATAGGTAATATTGTGGACTCTTTCTAACTATTCCATACGCTCTGATGTTCGTCGGTTGGAACTCCGTTTTGCTGACAATCATAAGTTTTGTCTTAGAAGTTTTAGCCCATATTCATCACATGCTTCGGTTACCCTGTTTAAAAATGTTGCAGGTCTTCTTCATTGACATTAATTCCGTTTATTTTAATGCCTGTATCTTCAACTAAGACTTTTTTTTATTAACTAAATACGGAGTAGATAATAAAGAGTAGAGGCGATAGAATACATCCTTGCCTCACTCCACGTCGTATTTCCACTGCTTTCGTCGTTTTATGTCCAATTCGTATGTTTGCACATTGATGCCAATACAAATTTTTGATAATACGGTCACAATTCCTACTTGTTGCAATAAACCTGTAAGTCTGTCACTGTTTACTCGTTCAAAGGCCTTTTCGAAGTCGATAAAACACATATATACCGATTGTTCGATATTCCTATATCTCTGAACCATGACATGCAAACTGAAGAGGGCTTCACTAGTTCCAAGGTTGTTTCTGAAACCAAATTGTGTTTCACTTAGTTTTACTTCTAGTTTGTTGTAAATTCTGGAGTGCAGTATTTTTAGGAAAATTTTCAGTAACTGACTTATCAGACTGATAGTGCGATGATAGTCTCGGTGCCAGGCGACATATTGTATCACTCATACATAACAGGCTACAATTTTCAGGACAGCTTAATAATACCTCTTGGGAAACTTTTGTACCGGGTGCTTTTTCTCTCTAGCTTATCCAAAAGTGGTCATTTTGAAGTGATGTATCAAATTTCTTTGATACATCTTTGACTTCGTGAAATATCCGAAAAAAATCTTGTCCGACAAATATTTGGATTCCATAAGGGAGTCCACCAAACTAAACATGCCAAAAAAAGAACTTCAAAAAATTTAGTAATAACAAGCTGATTTTCTCTGTATCGTTCAAAAGTGACGTGAAAAATACTATTTTTACATTGTCCGACAAAATGTACTAGCCGTTTTTTCCGTCCGACAGTGAAAATCGAGTTGTGGAAATTTATTATTAACTGTCGGACAAAAAAAAGTTAATATTGTTTTGAAGCTATTTTCTTGTGGCATTGTAAATTAATTACTATTAAACTGGGAATAAGCTACAATTAAAGATAAAAATACGTTTATTGACGTTTCAATTTCCACTTCGGAAATCGTTCTCAAAATACAAACAGTAAATTAAACAAATTTTGTTTTTTGTTACATAGTGAAAAATTCTTCTAATAATTTAATTTTATCTGACTCATTTATATTGACAATTCAGACATACATTATGCATTTTAAAGTAGACGACTTTAAAATGATATTGCCAATATTGTTGAGTTGCGCTCCTGGGACGACTTTACTTATAAGATAGTTCATTCGATTACATGAAATCAACTTTAACTTGAGAATATCCGTCAGAAAAAAAAAATCATAGCATGTAATTCGTCTTTAAAAAGACAAACACATGACATGATGACAGTAAAATTCTCCTGTTAGTGATTCCATAGTAAATTATGAGGGAAAAACCAGGAAAAAAACCTCATAATACTATCCCGACATTGTAAGTATTTGTTCGTGAATTTAGTTTACCTTCAACAAACATCAAAATTCTGATTTTATATGTTACGTTATTTAAAAAAACATAAATGATGTATCCTCTATATGTTACTGACTTACTAATACTGGTATTTTTTTATTAATAACTTCCTCTTTCAATATTGGTAACCAGATCCTACTACAGTCTGCCGAGGAATTTGCGACACAATTGGCCTCATTTAGCATAATTAGAGCCGCTTCTTTGATTTTTCTTTTTTTACCATCCGTTTCTTTTATGACTACATTTGAATTATTCCATTGAACCCTATGTTCATTATCCCATGCGTGTTTACAGATTTGAGATCTATTAAATTCTCTATTTTTAATATAAGATTGGTGTTCACTTATTCTAACATTTAATGGCCTTGATGATTTACCTAAATAAAACTGATCGCATTCACAAGGTATTTTATAAATGCAATTCTTTGTCCTTTCTTGTTCATTGTTAGGTTTGGTTTTGGACAAAATAGATCTCAACATGTTTGTTGTTTTGAATGTTGTTGAAATGTTAAATTTATTTCCTATCCTTTTAAGTTTTTCTGATAGTCCTTTTATGTACGGTATTGTTATTTTCCTCATATTATTCCTTGTGTATGCTGTAGGATCTCGTTCTAAGTTGTTCTGTTCTATTCGATCGATTGTTGAAAATTCCTTATTTATAAAGGATAATCATTTTTTAATAAAACAGATTTTAACAAATGTTTCTCCTCCAAGAACGAATTAAAAAAAATAGATTTGTGAAAGATTTACATTCTAAATGTTATATGTGTCCGACAAATATAATGTACCCAAATTGCAGTGCCACAAAAAATGGCAATTTTTTTATTTATTTAATCTATATAAATCTCAGATATTACGCAAAGCTTAAATTTTATTAATAACCGTCGGACTAAGTATAAAGTTCATTTCTTAGATAATTATTTAATGTTTAATACTATTGGCGGAGAAATCAAATGGGGCGGGAGCGCCCCATAAAAAAGACGACATTTGTATTCATTAAACAGCAATACGTTATTAATATTTTTGATACATCACTTCAAAATGACCACTTTTGGATAAGCTGGAGAGAAAAAGCACCCGGTACAGAAAGTATTCCAAGATATATCGAGGGGGTCGAGGTCTTATGAAGCTATCCTGAAAATTGTAGCCTGTTATGTATGAGTAATACAGTATGTCGCCTGGCACCTAGACTATGCTCGTTACACTTTTTGGCATTAATTTTTTTCGATATTGTTGCATATCGCAACCTAAAAAATTCATAGGTCGAATTGCCGATAATGCAAGACAGATGCTGTTTCTATTTGCTGCACATAATTGCGAGAAATTCCCTTCTTAACCTTTATGACGTCGACAACAGTCATTCTATAATTTCTGACATTACTCTAATATTTGTCAATTTTAATAACTCTCTAATATTTGTCACTTTTAAAATAAATCGCTCATTTCTCCACAAAAGATTTTGTGTTATATAAAAAAAAATATAGTTTTAATTATTAAGTGTAATTTAAAGTAATTACGAGAGTGTGATCGCCAAAATATAAGGTAACCAATTTTATTTTATTATAACTACATAGAACCAAAATCGAAGGTACTGCTTCAATAAGCAGTTAGCAACATATTCAGGGGGAGAAATAAAATCCCCCTATGTTCGTCATGATCCTAACGAGCCGGATACAGCAGCTGTTCCCGTCTTTGTAAAGCTGGAAGCTGGATTTTTCATTGATAAACCACGAAGGCGATCATTTCTCGTCTCTACAAAGACGCTTTCACGCAAGAATTCTCAAGATTCTCTCACATTATTCGTAAAAAATCACTCGTTTCCTCATTTCTTCGCAAAGAAAAGACATAGTTTTTATTCTTTCATATTCACACATCGCAGTTTTGGCGGTTCCACGATCCAAGGTTCTTCGTATTGGCGCCGTCCGGAAGGTTTGGTTTCGTCACTTTGAAGGGATAAGAAGTT